AAGGAAAAATTAAATATATATGTAAAAATTAAATATATATTTATACCTGTAACAAAGAAGTAGATGGACCTTGGGCTTCAACTTAGACTTGCCTCAGGACAAGAATGGTTTGTTCTAATAATGTGACATTGTATGATACTCACCTTCCTGAGATGCTCACTGAAGACAAAATGGGTGCATAAGCAAATATGGTGAAGAAAGCTGAAGGTGTCCAGCTATCAAAAGATATATCACCTGGGGTCTTAAAGGTTTGTAATTAAACAAGCAGTCATCTAGCAAGGAAGTGACAAAATCCACATTGAAAAAGCACATCAGCCCATGTGATTATGAGGTGTCAATGGGAAGAGGTATCAGAAATTCAAAAACATGCAACGAACTCTATAAGAAGGGGTGTGGATGCAATAGAGACCCCCAAATCCCCCTGCAAGACAATTGGACAGTCCCTTTCAGAAGGGCCCCATAGAATGAATGATAAAAGCAGGGTGTGGTATGGCACTGATGAACCACGTAACTATCCTCTAATTCTGTAATATTTCCAACCCTTCCTATTGAGGTTTTTATGTGTTTTTACCCCTTTAATCATGTTAGATTTGTGTATGTTAATTTGTATATTTAAGATCTTTAGGTACATGAAAGTCAAGATATGTGACCCCCCAGAGACAATGACAGGAGTAATGGTGTCCTGAGGGTATGGGAAGAGGTGGGGAGCAGGAAGGGGTAGAAAGGGGAGCCAATAGCTTTGATGATTGTATAACCCCACCCAATGGGATTGAACAACAGAATTGTATGTGAATGTTTATATTGGAATGTGTAAGATATGTCAATAAAACTATTATTTAAAAAGTCAGGTATAATCTGATCTCAATCAATCAATCAATAAAATGAAACTCTAAAAAGAGAGAATTGTATATACTTCAGCACAATCAGTTCCAATGCTCCCTCTCCCACTCCAAATTCATTGCTTACTCCCCAAATCCCTCACTCTCCACACCCTCTATCAACCCCTTACGTCTCTGATAAACCGTTGTATTAGTTATTGTCTCTACGCAGCCACCCGTGTGCTTCACAAATTGGGAAACTCAACAGAAACAATAAAAAGCAAAAATAAAATGGCAAGAAAATAATAATATGAAGATAAAACTAAAGAGTAAGAAAAGAGGAGACCACCATCAGTATTTAAAAAGCCAGAGAAGAAATTTCAGTTGCAGATCAAAGGAGAAATATTTGAGCCTAGAGCAAATTCAGGTTGGGTCAAGAGGGAGGCCAAATGACCAAGTATCATATTATACCATGGTTTGATTCACCATAATCAAGTTTACAATAATCTGATAGTAAAGCTGTTAAGAGTCCTTTGCCTGTGGCCAGAAGGGATCTGCCAGAGGCTTAGTCTGACTAGATACTCTGCAGATGGATTTTGGGCTCCCATTGTCCTCCATCACCTTCTACACATTGGGTGTTCACAACTGAAGCTCTTGATACTTTGCCCTTCAGCATATTTGGATTTTGATATCATCATCTTTGTATCCCACAGGCTGGTGTGTTTCTTTGATGTGAAGTTGATGGCTTGCTGAGATGGCTGCTTATTTGAATAGAAGCCTGTAGGTCTCCAGACACTATTTTAATTGATAACTGGGCACCATCTTCAGTTATCTCTTTTTGAAAATGTGTGCCGAGCAGGGCCATGTTCTAAGAACTAATTGTTCTTGGATTGGGGCTAGAAGTAATGGGAGCCCAGAAACCATCTGTGTGTCCATGAGTTCTGAACATCTCTGGTTCACTTTGGTGGTAGTATTATGACGAAAACCCAAACCAACAAGATCAACAGACTGTAAATCTTTATGGAAGCACACAGCCTCATTTTTCTACAGGAGTGCCTAATGGGTTTAAACCACCAACCTTGTGCTTAGAAGTCTAATAATTAATGCACAGCACTACCAGGCCTCCAGTATGGTTATAAGTAAATAGTGAGCAATACATTCATCCAGGAACAAACTATTAAGTGCTAGTAAATAGCGTGATCTTTGGCAACTGCTTTCAGACATGGAAAGAGCAAGCCACCAACAAAAGCATAAGAATCCAACAACTGAGAAAGCATCGGAAAAATAGTTCTGAAATCCCAAAGTGAGTCACAAATAGTGAGGTCACAACCTGACAAGCTATGTCCGAAACATCAGCCATTGAAAATGCGATGGAGCACAGCTCTGCTCTGACATACATGGAGTCTCCATCGCATGAAGTCCGCTTGATTTGAAAGCAACAAATGTTTGTTTCGTTTTGTTTTTCTTAGTGTTGCCATAGGAAGCTCTTCAGGAGGCCCTCAGCCTTACCACTAGAGGGAGGTAAGATATTTAAAATATCTACAAGTATTTTTAGATACAACCTCATGAAGCATTCCTAACTAACTTTTTTTTTTCTAAGTAAGAGAGATAACACACACAGGGCACAAGAGGGGGCTGTTAGAGTTGCAAACAGAAGCTCCTGCCCAGAGGAGGGAGAGATTGTTATTGAATTATTCAAGGAACTTACTTTCATCCTTTTTCATTGCCTTGTACTATTTTATAGCCTTTTGTTGAATGAGTGTACAATGCCCCCTCACAAACACAGAACAAAGAGCTGACCTGGTATGAAAAGAAATGAGACGTGAGTCCTCTGTACTTCAACTTTAAATAACCAGGAATTTGTCATAATGGAGTGGAAAGCCCAGTTATTATAGAGGAGAAAAATGAGCAGTTTTCTTTTTATTTGATTCTACTCATTTAATAATCACTTTGAGAACAACTGGAGAAGCGTTTCATGCTTATTTACAGTAGTTTATAAAAGTATTTCATGGCATTTCCTTTTACATATCATCCCTCACATCTCTTCCTATCTTTTCTCCTTAAAGCATGCCACCCTTACGTGTCGTGATCAGAGAGAGGGGCTCAACTGGAATAAGAATATGTACCTTTCCACTGGGTTTTCCTTAAGACCAGAAGCCTCCAACGATATTATCTAGAAGATAACTTAATAAAGAATTTCAAGAGTCAATGTGAGAAATCTGGATGCCAGTGAACTTGCCTTTACCCTGAGGCCGAACTCTATCTTTTCTTGCCTCAAAAATATTATACATATGTGAAAATATTTCTGTGATATATGTTGCAAATATGTTCTCCCATGTGTCATTTTATTTTAACTTAGTTTGTGGCAATTTTTTTTCAGAAAGAAATTTCTAACTTTTGACTTCAAATTATGTACTATTGCTCTTACATTTACTTGCTGCGGTTGGTGGTGTAGCTAGAAATTATCTTCCTCCTCTTACCATACAGGGCTCAAAAGATACATGTTGTATTAAAGAACTTTTCCTATCAGCTCTACCAACCAATTAGTGGTGACTTTTGCCTGTATCCGAGTAGTTGTTGTCAAGTTGATTATTCAGTGTTTGTTTTCAATGGCTGTTTTTTGGTTGTTGTTATTGTTGTTGTTTTTTGAAAGTAGATCACAGATCTTTTTCTGTGGTACCTATAGGTAGACTTGAACCTCCAGTCTTTAGGCTAGCAGCCAAGTACATTAATCATCTATGCTATAGAGTCTCTTACCATGAATAAGGGATGGATACATTTCTTGCAAATGGTTTTACTCATTCAGCTGTAGCCTATTTGAATCTGAGCCTTCAACAGGGATCTCCATTTAAGCCCTCTGCACTGGAGCTGGACATTGAGTAATAAATCTTCATCTTAAATTTAAGACTGTGAATGGGGCAGACTCGACCAACAGGCTGCTGTGTCCTGGGATGATGCTTGCCTGGACGACACCCAATCAAGTCAAAGCTGCCGTGTGGGGCCTGTGCTGATGGTGGCTGCTTGCTTCATTGCTTGAGACCTCCCCCAGCCAAGAAGCAGACAGAGTGTGAGCTCTGGGACCTAGAAGTTCATTTGCATTTGAACTATGAGGTTGGTGGCAGGAATGACTATTCTCCTAACTTTGGGTAAGTGTTTGGGGTTCAGAAAGTAGGACTTTGGGGCTGCTTCCATCTACCCAGTGGGCTTTAGCAAAATGCAAGAAAAATGTGTGCCTATGAGGCTCCCTTAGAAGTCTGGGATTTCTGTCTGAGGGTCTGGCCATCCCTCCAGAGAGCTCATTTTCACAGTGTAAGGATATGGGTCATTGGTGTCAAGGAAAGGTGGGCAATTTATCTTTGGCCTTAGAGCTCTGAATAGCACAGTAATAAATACTGGACAGATTTTTTTTTCTTATCCTGTGTATCACACAAAAATACTCAAGAATGGAGTATAGGCAGAGAGGAGAGTCCGGGTAGTGCTTGTGTCCCAAACCTTTATATATATCCTAATTTAATAGCCAAACGCTCACATGTTGTTTCTCAATTCCTCAGGTAATCCAGGTGATGCTAAAGCCACGCAGCCAAATTCAATAGAGAGCACGGAAGGAGAACGTGTAAACTTGCCCTGCAACCACTCGACAATCAGTGGAAATGAGTATATCTATTGGTATCGACAGATCCTCAACCAGGGTCCAGAGTATGTGATCCATGGCCTAAAGAACAATGAGACTAATAAAGTGGCCTCTCTGATCATCCCTGCGGGCAGAAAGTCCAGTACCTTGATCCTGCCCCACGTTACGGTGAGAGATGCTGCTGTGTACCACTGCATGGTGCGAGACACACACTAGCTCGGATGGGGCCACACCTGTACAGTATCTCCGTGGTGGGGGAAGGGAAACAGCAGCAGCCATCTAAGAGGCACCTGCACAAGAATGACAGAAGCTCCGTAGAAGAAGAAAGGTAAAGGAGGGCAAAAGAAAAGTTAAGGAGAAAGAGAAGAGGAAAGAAATGAAAAGGGTGAGAAAGAAGAGCTTTCATTACTAAAGAGACGGAGAAGCTCGAGAAGAGATCAAGAATCACACTTGTAATCCTGCAAGAAAGAGAAAATGAGAATGTGTCCCAACTCTGTTTTGATATTGCTTCCTCTTTGGATCTCACTATTTAAAAGAAAAAATGGGAATAGCCATTTGGTTTTCCCAAAGGCTTTGTTCATTTGGACCCAGGGGCGTGCTCTGGCTCTGAAGATTGCATCATCTTAACACTTTAAATCGCTCCGAAATGGAAATGCATTTCAGCTGAGGTAGTTAGTTTATTGTGCCAGCCTCGCAGATAAACACACGTGAGGCTAACTGAAGGGCGGAGGGATAAATGGCTCGGTGAACCTCGCCTTCGAGTTCTCGGGTCTCTTGCTTTCTGATGGTTGGACCAGGGTGCAGCTGCCTTAGCCAGTTCCCTGCCTCAGCTGATGAGGCTCACTTCCTGCAACACATCCCCGAAGAGAAGCCGCATGGACCTACCCCGATGCAGCTCTGGGTGCTGGAGCAGCTGTGTGGAGACCCCTGCCAGCGCTGCTGCGATGCTTACATGCTCACTGATTCAGCTTTCCTCCTGCAGTCAGCATCATAGGGTGTGTTTTGCGAGATGGAGGAGGACTTTGTGCACTGGTGTCAGACATATGGGCTAATGTTGGACTTAGGGGCGTGGGCAGCGCTGGGTTGGGATGTTTTCTTGATGCGCACTTAACCTTTATATAAAACTCTCTCTTATACATGAGTTTCTGTGGATTTGTTTCGCTAAAGCACTCAGACTAATACATCATCTATGGATTAATTTTCTTTTGAGAGAAATGTAAAATTTTCTTTATTGCATACACATGTAATTGGAATATGGATGATTTGGTAAAGGAAGCATAAAAGGACATATGTAGATATTAATTTCATTTTTAAAAATGTATGTGTAGTACTTTTAAAATTACACAAAAATGTACCCAATATTTTTCTCCTTGACGCTCCTCATCCCTATGAGATTCCCTCTTCTGCTCTTTGAATAGTCCAGTTTGACAGTTGGGAGTGTATCTTGACAATTATGTTTACTTTCAAGGATATTCATTTAAATATCTACTCTATTTTCTTATATACATTAGGTTATACTGTGTGTATTTTTCTGTATTTGCTTTTATTTTTCCTTTTAAAATGTTTCTCAGAAATATGCTTAAATTAATATATAATAAATTACTTCAATCCTCTCAAGAGATGCAGAAAATATCATAGAGATTTAAAACATTTTAATTATCTATTACTATATTGCTAATATCTGAATTACTTTCCCTTTACTTATAATACTTAATATATATCTAAACAACACATAACTAGCTAGCTAGCTAGATTTCTTTCTTACAGGTTACTAGAAATGGAATTACTGATTCAAAGGATATGCTTATTTTACCTTTTTATATATATTTTGGTTAACTTTATTATCTGTCTCTCTAGATTTTGGATAACTTGACTGTATCTCATTGTTCTTTTCATTTGCATTTTTCCTAAGTCCTAACGTACCTGAACAGCTTCCCTAGTGTGTACTGGCCCTTTGTGATTCTGTGTTTACTAGAATAAACATATAGCATACTCAACAATATTTAGCCCTTTTCTTTTAGATTATTTGTTATTTTTCTAGTTTATTTATAAAAGCTTAATAAAGGAAACATTTTTTCCAGTAAAACAGAAACTATATACTTTGCCCAAATATATTATCTCTTTTATGTTATTTTATTTAAAATCTATTGGTAATTTTTTACCTGGTAAATTTAAGACTTCTAAGACTTTCCCCACACTAAGCTGATAAATGTAAACACATATATTTTTCTAATCCTAAAATATTTATTTAGCCAGCCTGAATGTGTAGTGTTAATATTTTAAAATTACATAGCCATATTGTCAAAATTTGGTCCGATTTTCTTAATCTTTGGGGAGTATGATGACATCATTACCATTACTACTACAATCCAGGAAGCACTTCTAAGACATAGGGCAAACCACATCTGTAATGAAGACAATGATAATAAGTAATGTAATTTTAATATTACCTCACTGAGAAACTCTTAGCTAAGGTCTTTAAGTCCAGTTTCCTTTTTAATCTTCACGATGTCTTGTGAAGTAGAAAGTGGAATATAGAATTGATTAAACTGCTCAGTTAAACCATCTAATTCACAATAAAAGACTTAAATTACTTTTAATTATTAAAAAAGAGAATAGTAGAAATCATTATCAACTCATGTCAAAAATGAGAAGTCTAGTTCTCAAACAGTTTAAATAGCCAATAATTTCCCTTTATGTTAGAGTCTATCAATCTCTATTTCTTTTCATCATTCAGTAATAAGGGGTAAATTCCAATCCAATCAATAAGTCAACAAACCGAAGAATACATCCAGCCTAACTGGTCTTAGATGTCTTAGAGCAAAATATCAGGAAAGTCAGGGTGTAGCAACAAGATCCGAGTTGAGAAAAATCAGTATCCATAAATCCTATAGCATAATGCCACTAGCAGAAATATGTGAACCACATATGCAATTAGAATTTTTCTGTTTATGTTGTTAAGTGCTATCCAGTTAGGTCTGACTTCCAGCAACTCTATGTCTAACAGAATGAAACACTGCCTGGTCCCGAACCACCCTCGCAGCCATTGTGTTGTTTGAGTCGATTGTTGGCCGCTGTGTGAACCCATTTCACGGAGGGTCTTCCTCTCCATCATTAATATTCTGCTGTAGGAAGCATTATGTCCTTCTCAAGGGACTGGTTTCACTTGAGAATATGTCCAAAATATGTGAGATAAAGTTTTGCCATCCTCACTGCTAAGGAGCATTCTGATTTTTTTCTTCCGAGACAGATTTGTTTGTTCTTCTGGCAGTCCACGGTCCATCCAATAGTCTGTCAGCACCATCATTCAAAGGCATTAGCCGTTTTTCAGTCATCTTTGTCCATTGTCCAGTTTCTTGTATAGGAGGCTATTGGGTCATGGCTTGGGTCAGGCACACCTCTGTCCTCCAAACGACAGCTGCACTTTGTAACAGTTTCAAGAGGTCTTTCAAAGAAGATTCGTCCAATGCGATGTCCTTTCATTTCTTAATCACTGCTTCTACGGACATCGATTGTGGATAAAATGGAATTCTTGATAGCGTCCATCTTTTCTCCATTTATCACGACATTGTTTATTGGTTCAGTTGAACAGATTATTTTTCCTTTATGTTGAAGTGTAGTCCATACTCAAGGCTGGCGTCTTTCATTTTCATCAGTAAATGCTTCACATCCTCTTAGCTTTCAGCAGGCAAGGTGTGTCATCGGCATCTCAAAGGTTGTTCATGAGTCTTCCTCCAGTCCTGATATCATGTTCATCGTAAGTCCAGCTTCTTGGAGTATTTGCTCACCATACCGATGACATACATATGGTGAAAGAAAGCAACACGGATGGGAAGCTTTCCCGATTTGAAAGCGCACAGCGTCTCCTGATGCTGTTCTTGTTCTGCTCAGGTTCCACAGGAGCACAATAAGTGTTCGGGGATTCTCATTGTCTGTAATGTCATCAATAGTTTGTAATGATCCATAATCGATAAAACCCAAGTAAAGATCTGTCTGGTGTTCTGCTTTCAGGCAACATCCATCTGAAGCCAGCAATGGTTGCCCTTATTCCACATCCTCTTCTGAAGCTGGCTTGAATTTCTGGCACGTCCTTATCAAGGTCTGGCTGCAACTGTTTTTGCAAACTTTTGCTTTCTTTTGATATTAATGATATTTTTTGATAATTTCCACCTTCAGTTTGGTAACCTGCCTTTGGGATAGACACAAATATGGATCTCTCTCAGTTGGTAGGCCAGATGGATGTCTTTCAAATTCCCTAATAGATACATTAAAAGAATAAAAGTAACAGGTAAAGTTAATTTTAATACTATAAAATATTTGACCAGTTATTTTTACAATATTGATTCAACATGCAATCAATAATTACTAGTAAGGTGGCTCACAATCTTTGATCCAGTGTGTATTTTATACTTACAGCTCATCTCAACTTGGATGCTAACAAAGTGGCCTGTAGTCCTATCAAAACCATAAAGCCATAGAAAAGTATTTTATACCGATTTCAGTTTTTAAATTCAAATGTAAATAAATAAAAGATGTGGTTAATCGCACTACCTATAGTTTAATTACTCAATAGCCACCTTTAGCTTGTGACCGAGATTTTGGACAGGGGGGCTCAAGGAAGACAGTGCTGCGCATCAGAACTTTCAAAGAATAGAAGCGAGGCGCAGTGAAGGGGGAGGGGTGACTTGGAACTTCTCTAGCTCGTTCTTCATATGACATCTCTCAGGACAAATTGATGGAGGAAGTCAGAGCCCTAGGCATACAGAAGAGGAAGAGGCAGTTCATCCTGAGTGATAAGTAGGATGAGAGATCTCTTTTTCAAAGATGGCTGCTTTTAAGTCCATTCTGGTTCATGGCGACCCCAGATGTGTCACGATAGAATTGTGCTCCAGAACGTTTCCAGTGGCTGAATTTCCTCTTTTCTTTAGAAGGACCTCTCGGTGGATTTGGTCAGACACTTAGTGACTTTATGGACAACAGACGGAAGCAATGCCTTACGAGATCCAGAAAATGTCATTAAACAGACGGAAGCAATGCCTCACGAGATCCAGAAAATGTCATCAGGAGGTCCCCCACCCAGCCAGATTACGAACACCCACCCTCTGCAGATAATGGAAAGTGCCCAGGCACCCACACTTGATGACCAGAGGAGCACACTTCCCCTCCCCCTGCCCTCCTGGCTACGAAAGGCATGAATACCCCTCCCACCGCTACCACCCTGGCTGTCCACACATTGTGGTACAAGCCACTATTTCCCCCTTCCCTGCCTTATCCTCCACCTGCCACCTTGCCAACTCAATGAGTGGCACAAGGGGTTTCCATGCCACCACTTGCCCGACACACCCTCTGCTTATTGCCTGATCCCCTCAACAGGTGACAGTGAGCACCGTGTACTCCCTGCTGTCTACGACATACATACCCATTCCCAACTCTCTTCATGAGCAGCAGAGAGCACCTCCCATTCCCATTTGTCCTCCACACTCACTCACTGCCCTATGTACCCAGAAAGTGGCAGAGAATATGCCATGCCATGCCACAGGACTGATGACAATCAGAGA